GGATTGAGGGGCACCAGCAGAGCTGTGTGGGGAGCTGGCACTTCTCTTACTCTGCTCTTCACAAGCATTACGTTCACTGTGAAAACCCAGAGCCCGTCGGCAGGCTGAGCCGGTCGGGGTGGAGCGGCAGGACGCGGCTCCGGCCCCTCCCCGGCGCTGACACTAACCTGGTTAGCCGGGATGAACGGCCACAATAAAGTCGCCTTTCAATACGCTTGTCAAATGATCATCCGGTGCAAGATAAACTAATCTCCCAGCCCACCCCCGACGTGTCTCTGGAGCCTCCATTAACTCCCCTAAATGTCCAGCCAATCACTGCACGACAGCTTCCTCCCCGCCTGGCTGGGCCGGGGGGCCGGCGTGGTTGGGGGGGCGGAGGGGGGCAGCTAGAGAAATGGTCTCAATTTCCATCCGCCCTGCGGGGAGCACCAGGTCCCATCTGCCTGGCGCACGTTGGGCCCTAATCAGATTGGGCCGATTAGCGCATTGCGACGCCCTGAGCCACCCAGGGCAGGGGCTATAAAGGCGGCTCCCTCGGCCCCAGCTGGGCGTGAGCTGCCCGGCCGATCCCCCAGCCATGAGCAGCATCGCGGCCGTCGGGGAGAGCTACCAGAAGTTCAACCCCAGAGCCTACCTGCAAAACAACTACATGCCCCCCCGGGCCGACTTCAGCTCCGAGGACTGCGTGGTGCCCTGGAAGCTGCGGTGCCTGGCCGAGGCCTTCGCCACAGGTGAGCGTTGGGGTGAGACAGAAGCTGTAAATAAGCCTTTAAAGGGCTTTGCAGGCATCAGTGGATGAAGCCTCCGAGCTGCCTTGGGAGGGAGGAGAGTGTCACGGCCTCTGTGTTACTGGTGGGGAAACTGAGGCACAGACTGATGCCAGCACTGGTGGCAGATCTGGGAACAGAACCCAGGAGTCCTGGTGCCCACCCCTCACACTCTGACCACTACACTCTGTTCCCCTGGCAGCTCAGGGGAGAGAACCCAGGAGCCCTGGTGCCCACCCTTCACCTCCGCTAGGCTGAAGGTCTCGTGGCTTCTAGCACAGAAAAAGCCTTTGCGGCTAAGGCTCAGCTCGGGTGGGGACAGGGTATAAGCCACCCAGGCAAAGGAACTCTTGGCCTGACTGAGGGCGTCTCCACGCAGGGTTTGCTGTACCCGGACGGCTGTTGGGGAAACGCTTCCCAGCGGAGACCAGGCCTGGGCTGAATTCTCCTTCCATTTCCGCTCTCACAGCCTCCTCCACCGCAAAGCGGGTATCCCAAAAACTCATCCCCCCTCCCTCCCCTTAGCACACGTCCCTCTGTACCAGTCTCCCTCGCCCCCCAGGGGACATCCACGGCCGCACCCTGATCGACATCGGCTCCGGCCCCACCATCTACCAGCTCCTGAGCGCCTGCGACCACTTCGAGGAGATCATTGCCACCGACTACCTGGAGGTGAACCGGGAGGTGCTGCGCCAGTGGGTGCGGGGCGAGCCCGACAGCTTCGACTGGAGCCCGTACATCAAACACGTCTGCCGGATTGAGGGCAAAGGGTAGGCATCTGGGGGGGATGGGAGGGGGCAGCCTGCGAACCAGGCTGGTCGGTGGCACCAGAGCCGGGGAAAGAGCTGGCCGGAGCGAGGGCGTTCGAGCAGGACTGGACGGAGCAGCCGTTCTGGCTGATGCTCCGTGGTCCGGGCTGGTTGTGTGACCTGAGGGTGTCACTTGAATTCCCAAACTCGCTGTTTGCCGGGTGGAAATGGACTAGGGGGTGGGGGGGATTTAGCAACTGGCAGCTGGGGTGGGGGGGTTGCTGAGGCACAGAGTTAAAGGAGCCAGGGTGACCTCGGCGTTGTTGGGCAGCACACGCATGTCCATGCGGCGTGTCACAGGGAGCGCACCGCCGCCCAGCCGTGTCCCACACGTTCACACGCACACTGACAGCCCCACACACCCCTTTGAGCCTCACCCCCACCCCCCACCCCCGATCGCTTAGCTCACCCAGTGACTGCCCCGGGCGTCGATCCCTCCCCTCTGCTCACCCAGAGCCAGCCTTACAAAGTTACTGCCCGGCAAGCCCGTGTCCTGGGGCCGCTCACCCGCCGCCTGGCCTCACCCCCTGGGCTTTGCCCTGCCCGCCAGGCGGCGTGGCACTGGGGGCTGGAAGCATAAGGCGCTCGCACCAGGGATCCGGCTTCCAAGACTCGCTTGTGTCAGGAAGTGGGGGGCAGGTAGGGCCCTGCATCCCGCAACTTCCTGCGATTCACCGGGTCTAGACAACAGGAACACAGTCCAAAACAGAGCTTGTAGGTACAGACAACAGGACCCCCTCAGTCAGGTCCATCTTGCGGGGCAGGGAGCTGAGACCCCAGCCCTGGGGCTCCCTCTGTTTCCCCAGCCAGCTCCAAACTGAAACCCCCTCCAGCCGTCTCCTCCAGCCTTTGTCCAGTTTCCAGGGGAAAGGTGTCACCTGGCCCCAACCCCACTCCTGGGCTCAGGTTACATGCTCAGGTATCGTCCCTCAAGTGAAGTCACCCCCTGATATCCCCATCACCAACGCAGACAGCCCCAGTAAAACTCCCACTCCCCACTCCCACAGTTTGTCAGCCCTGCTGCCAAAAGGCGGGCGTCTCCTGGAGCAGGGCTGGGGGTAGGAGCTGCTTGGGGAAAGCAAATTGCTGGCTCCAAACAACAACCGAGTGTTAGCGATGGTGGGGGGGGGGGGACTCGTGGGTCTGGTAAGGTCACTGCTCCAGCTCTGGGTAGGGCACAGGCTCCAGCGGCATCACTCCAAAGCCCCCGCATTGATCTCCCAGCCTGCAAAGCAACCAGGGCGCTCCCCAGGGTGCAGATTGCTAACCCTCCCCAGGGCCAGCACCCTGCTTGGGAGCAGCGGGAGACAGGGGGGGGGAAATGATCTCCTGAGTGCAGAGAAGGTAAAACCTACACACCCACCCTCATGACCCCAGAAATCAGAGCTGGGAACACCCTGCACTCAGAAAGGGGAGTCGCCCACAGCCTTGTGCCAAACCAGCCGTGTCGGCGTGAACCCAACCTGCTTCCACGCTGCGTTTGGGACAATCTGGAGCTGGAAACGAACCGATCTCGCTGTATAACCTGATGTTCCCCTTCCATCAGGCTCCCCAGCACGGCGCGGCTCCTCTGCCTCAGAGGCTGGAAGCGCTAAGGAGCACGGACATGATGCTGGTGCTCAGTAACCGATAACAGCCGCGGTGAGCACGTGGCCGAATCGGGCTGGTTTTGCAGAGAGCCCTGAGCTCCTACCCCCTGGAAAGTCAGGCCTGTTCTGCCCAGCAGTGCTGGAGTCCCTCCCAGCTCTGGCTTGCCCAGGGCTCTGTCTAGCCTCGTTATACGGCTCCTCAGGGACGCGGCTGGGCACCCGGCCGGAGCGAGCTAAACCTCCCCTCTCTAGGAGTCTCAGCTATGGAGACTGGACCACGGGTGGGTCCCTCTCCATAGGCACCAACCATGGCTCTGATCGCTGTAGCACTGCGGCGGGCTAGAGGGGCGCAGCGGGGGAAAGTTATCACCACAGCACCTTGAGCGGGCATCAAATTCTCACCCCACCCCCTGTGGCGCTTTTCCATGGGCCAGTTCGGCCTAAATTTTCCCTTTGGCTCCTCTTATCCCATCATCCCCCTTGGAGCACCCTAAACACCCCCTCTCCCTCCTGGGTGCGGCTGGGTACACTGCCCCCTGATGCCCATTGCTTGACTCCCACGCTCCCTTTCTCACGGCCGGGCCTCATTCTTTTCTGGCTTGCACAGGGAGCAGTGGAAGGAGAAAGAGCAGAAGCTGAGAGGGAAACTGAGGCAGATCCTTCCCATCGACGTCCACCAGCCCGAGCCACTGGGCTCCCAGTTGTGCCAGCCGGCCGACGCCCTGGTCTCCACCTTCTGCCTGGAGGCGGTGAGCCCTGACCGGCTGAGCTTCGAGAGAGCCCTGCGTAATGTCACCACCCTGCTGCAGCCCAGGGGCCACTTCCTCCTCATTGGCGCCCTAGAGGAGTCTTTCTACCTGGCCGGTGAGGCCAAGCTCTCAGTGGTGCCGGTGAGCGAGGCCGACGTCAAGGAGGCCTTGAGCAAGAACGGCTACCACATCCACGACTTCCGCTCCTACCTCATGCCGCCCAGCCTGAAAATCGGCGTGGATGACGTGAGTGGGGTCTTCTTTGTCCACGCACAGAAGCAGCCTGTGGCCTGAGGCCCGTGGCTAGGCAGGCCTGGCCAATCCTCTTGTTCTTTGCTAAGATGCACGTCCCACAGCAGAGTGAAGCTTGGTAGCTAGTAATGCAATAGATGCATCCATCCTAGGCAGATTACCTGAGATGTTGCGTGATTCTCCTTAACGCCCCGTCCGCCCCCAGCTCCAGAGCGCATCTCCTTTGCATGTGGTAGCAGATTCAGCAGTGAAGGGGTTAAATAAAACTGGAGGCAGGTGGATTAGCTGGTTCTCTGAGGGTCTCTTCATTCATAAATTCTAGGCTTCTATTAATGGCAGGTCCTGTTCCCCTGTGTCTGTGTAGGGCCACGCGTGGCCTGAGCAGCTACTGGAGTATCAGGCAGGGTTGGCTTTCTGTAGCACCCAGGTTCTCCTTGTGCAGTACAAAGAGAGTGAAATCCTACTTGGGGCATGCATTTCTAGAGCCTCTCCCTATCGGCTCCGGGTGCTTTTACAGCACTTTGGGGGGGTTCAAAGTTCTTACATCATTCAATTAATCTGCATACCAGCCTGTGAAGCAGATCTGCCTTACCACCCTTGTTTTAGAAACTGAGTCACAGAAACTAAGAAGGGGCGAGTTAGAGAGCAAGAGTTGGGATTAGAACTCAGCCAATTCCTGATCCTGCACTCAATGCACTAGTTTCTCTCTCTCTCCATATCGTTTTACATGACATGCAGCCACCTCTGGGGCAGAACTCAGCAGCTGCTAAAGGGCAGACAGTAACATTCCACAAGAGTTTCGAACAGGTAATGAAAAACCGCCTCCCACTCCATCTGAAAGTGAAAGGGAAGTAGGAGGTAGGCAGAATATAAATTACCCAATCTGGAATTTCACTGTATAGGGAGAAGACAAAACTAGCCGAGGTAGAATTTCAGCAGGATTCCAACTTCAGAATTAGCACAATTTAGTTTTGGTACCAATCCCATCTGCTGAAGAATTTTAGCGGGAACCCCAGATAATTTAGGCCCAACGGTTAGACTTTTACTGTATGTTTAAAAAACATTTCAGAGAACCTAATAATGACGAGATGTTTTCATGATTTCCATGGCACTTTATCTAGATATTTATTCTGTGGCTATAGATACATATTCCATGCTGTTCTCTGAGAGCTATACACCTGAGCCTTTGTTTTACTGCATGAGAATCCATTGAAAATAAAAGCTATAAAATCAAGGCAAACGGGGCTGTCTAGATTCACTCCGAGTTGGGGGAAGTGTAAACATTAAACAAACAGCCCACAAAGCAGCTGCGAGTCTATATTTAAGTAATCCCAACGTGGTTAATAGTTCAGCTGATGACTTTAATAAATACAGGATGTTTAATTTGGAACTAACCCTTTAAAGAAATGTTTGGGGAAAAAACAGGTCTTTCCCCAAGGTGGGGGGCACAGTAACCCCACGTTGACCCTCTCTAGTTAACTCTCTCTAGCAAAAAATGGTTTGGAAGCCAAGGGTGGGATTTTATGGTGCTTAAGTGAGTCTCTCTAATTTCCTCTCGGGGCTGCAGCAGCACACGCAGGACCTGCAGGTCGCATTGGGGAGGGGTGAGGCAGCTTAAAGCCACAGCGTCTTTCAGAGGCCCAACTCCGTGCCCCACAACGTCACTGAAAATGGACGTGGCAGCTCCTCAGCACCATGGGAAGTCAGTCTCACAGGCTGTCTCCCACCAGCTCGTGCTCCTTCTTCACCACACGCAAATACCTGCCTTGGATCGTGCCGTACAAACAGCAGGGTTGGTAATGACGTCACCGCTTCTTTAGCCATTGGGTCACAATGGCGCCGGGCTGGCCCCATTCTCCTAGGGGGCTAGTTCATGCAGTTCATGCAGGGGAAGGAATTCAAGGCTTCAAATGAGCATCCAGTCTTTAAATCCAATCCCCGCCCCAGTGGTGGCGCAGAAGGATTTAGGCTCGCGCGTGAGGCCAGGGAGTGTAACATTACTATCCAGAGAACTGACATCACACCTGTCAGCACGGTCCGTAACCACGGGGGACAGGACAGCGAGCCCCGTTCAAGGGATTAACTGATCCCCAGGGAGGTTAGGTGGAACTTTCCCTTCCCCAGCTTCAGCTGCTGCTGGGAGGCGGGAGCTAGGTCTGGCTGCGTCATTGCTGTGGCCAGTGACAGCCCCCCCACCAGTAACTCCTGGACCTGATCCTCAGATGGAGGTGGCTGCTTCCTGGCCTGGAGTTAGACGCCGTGACCCTCCCAGCCCCGCTCCCCAGCTGGCCCTGTGACAGCACTCCACTTAATTCAGGATCTGAGGCAGAGAGGGGATTAAAGAGTGGTTATTAATATTTTTGGCAACTCCAAATGGTTTTTCTTTAGGTGGAGATTTGGAGGCAAAAAAAATCAACAGATGAAGGGGGTGAAGATTATTAGATTAATTACAATTTTATTCTCAGAGAAACCAGGACAACAATACAGACAAAGGTTCATTTGCACCGTTTGCAATAATCGTCGACTTGACCCAAGTCTAATGCAATTAATTGATCACGCTCCAAAGAGCTGATTTAAGAAGTGAAACAGCAATAGAATACACGTTAGTCACATTCACATCCCCATACGACACGTGTGTGGGCTGTACAGTGATAGAAAATCTGCCCCCATTCCCTTATTACCATGATATATACAGATTATCCCAACCCATCACCTGTACAACCAGAAAAGGAAATATCCTCGGAAACGGAGGAAAAAGAAACCCACAAATCTATGCTCTCCCCTTCCCCCGCAGCAAAGCAGCCGCTCCCACCAACAGCACTTTCAGGTCACCTTCAGGAAATTCTGTTACCAAGCCCAGCTGAAGTGGCTGGCAGGGGCGATGCCAGGAGAATGTCCGGTCATTTTCCATGTGAAAAACAGATGCCAGGCTCTGGCGATAGCTCCGAGGGTGACTGGACAGCGGGCGAGCACACGATGTGCTGCGTTGGCTGGGAGCTATCTAGGGAGGATGTGCTGTTTGTTTTCTACTTCTAAAATTACACACTGGGACATTTCAGTAAGAAGTTGGCACAGAGCTCTCAGAGGCCAGGAGCTGCGTTTCACACCAACACACACACACACACACACACACACACACACACCCCAAGAGAAACTTCACCTGCTTTCACTGTACGATCACCTGTTGTACACCCTGGCACACACAGCCATCAGTCTGTTCTTGGCAAGAATTTCCACGAGAAGCCTCCATTACAACCCTGCTAACTACAGCATCACACCAAATGCCTCCTCCTTGCTAGGGTACAGCATGCCGGTGGAAAGCCAGGGGGAGGGAGGGGCTCATGGATCAAGCTCTCCCAGTGCAACAGGAGTTTTTAAACTGGCCTGAAAACGATCTGCTCCAGCACACGCACAAGCGCAGCGAACAAGGAAAACTATGGTTTAAAGCCAGAGACAGGGCATTATTTCCCAGAGATGCTTCCCCTGAGACTCAGGCCACAGTGACTACAGGAGACCAGGCGGGAATAAGGCAAGGCCCTGGGATGGCTGCTGGATGGAAAGGTGAGGTCAGAGCCCTGGACCTGCAGAGCAGGTGCCAAGCCCTGGAGCAAGTGGGGAGAAGGGACGCTGTCTCTCCAGGGGACAGAGCAGGGGCTGGAGTGCCAGGAGGGAATGCTGGCACCAGCCCCACCCGGGGAAGCCCAGCCATGTCTCAGCACTATCGTAAGAGGAGGATACTGGGGCCTATTGCGACTCCTTCCAGTAACAGGCTGAAGCCCGCCAGCGACCTAGGAGGCAGCAGATACGCCAGTGGGTGCCGTCCTTGGCAAGCGAGCCCAGCTGCACTATTGCAGCCCCGGTGTAAGGAAGGCAGGAGAGGCTACCAAGGGGAAGGAGCCATTCTCTGGACCAGGGGTTCTCAACCTCTCTTTCTGAGCACGCCCCAACATGCTTTGAAAATTCCATGGCCCACCTGTGCCCCAACAACTAGTTTTCTGCATATCCAGTAGTTTAAAAGCTAGGGCCAGCGTTAGGGGGTAGCAAGCAGGGCCTGGCCCAGGGCCTGTTGCCACAGGGGGGCCCTCGAAACTAAGTTGCTTGGGCTTCAACTTCAGCCCTGGGCCCCAGAGAGTCTAATGCTGGCCCTGCTCTCTGGGTTATTTTGGTGGAGCCCTGGTTGAGAGCCATGGCTCTGGACCCCTGCATGGCCAGAGGGTGGGACTGCGACTGACGACAAGGGAGAGGAGAGAGCCTGGCCTTGTGGAACCACATGGGCCAGTGCCAGGAAGATACAGAATCCCTCCAGGGAAGAGACCAGGTAAATCCACTGGCTGCAAGAGGTCCCAGCGAGTCAGACACATCACTGCCCAGCCAGGGTCTGCCAGAGAAGGAACCCTCTACAATGCACTGAATGTGGGAAAAGCTTCAGCCAGTTCCAGCCACCCGGCGCCAGCTGCCATCCTATCAGCTCCACTCATCCCCTCTCGCTGCTCGTGATCAGTGCACATCACGCCCAGAGGGGGGCACGTGAGCCCCCCCGATTTCTGCCCTCCATTTAGCACTCAGGTTTTCAAACTGTGGGGCCCAGCGCCTCTTGCCAGGAGCCAGAGGATTGGAAGCTGGTGGGAAGATGCCCAGCCCGCTCGGCCCCCGGCTCTCTGCTGTGGGAGCCGGAGCGCTGGCTGGCTGCCCGGCTGCTCTGCTCCCCGAGCTGGGCGGCCTCTGCACGGCTGGGTGCTCTCCAGGCAGGGCAGGCGGCACAGCTCTGAGCTGAGCCCCCTGAAAGAGGCCAGCGCTGACCGGTGATCCCGCCAGGAGCCAGCCCCTGCCAGTGGAAACCAGCTGCCATGAGATGCTCCCTGAGGCCCTCGCTTTCCGCTGCCCCGGCCCTCCTGCTGCTCCTCAGCCCAGAGGACATGTGTGAGGCAGCCGCGCCCCCCACCCCCGCCACCGAACCTTTACATTGTACCCCGCCCCCCATCAAGAGTTAAGCATTGTCTCTAATCACGCCACTTCCAACATGAAATTCCAGGGCCTGCCTAGCGCTGTCAACGCCGAGCTGACGGAGAGCCTGGCCCGGGCTGCTCAGATCCACCTGCGTGGGGGATGACCCTTCCTGGGCAGCAGGACCTGCACCCCTCCGCAAACGGCTCTCACCCGGCAGGAAGAGGAGTCTACTTGTTTACCTTGAGATTTCCCTGCCCCAGTATCTGGCTGGACTTGGCATTCTCCGCTAGCCAGACAACAAAGTGCTGCTGAGTCATACAACTCCTCCGTTCGCTCACACTGGGTATGGCTCTGCAAAGTTACAGGCTCCTGCACCCAGGGGAATGGCTAGTCTGGGCTCTCTGTGAAGCAAGATGAATGGAGGATACCAGGTTAAAGAGGGTTTGGAATTCGAAGCAGGGGCTAATAAGCGATAAGGACCAGGATTGTGCTGGCCTCTACTTTTCCTAAAGCTTTCAAGGTGGCTTGTCTGGACTGATCTTTCCACAGCCGTCTGGGGAACACGCAGAAGTCACTCTTTGCATTAAGCGGCTCAGTGCAGCTGGGCAGCGGTGGAGTTTACAAGTTCTGTAATTGGAGGAGAGCCAGGGCATTGGGTGGTTTCTCTGGGAAGGCGACGGGCAGGTTAAACACGGGGGAAGGCAGAAGAGAAGAGCGAGACACATACGAAACGCTGGGACAAACATATGGGCTGTGGAAGATTTCCTCATCACCGGGACAAGGATGTTACAGGCAACTTAAGTTCAAGAGTCTGGGTTTTGAACAATGAGACAAAGCAGCGACAGAGATACAGATGGACAGACATCTGCGCCTAGGCAGGGGCAAACATCATGGTATGTAGTCAATTACATCTGGGGACACACACACACTAACAGTTCTCCAGGGTTACCACCATGCTGCCATAGTCTCTAATTTCCACTGAACACAAGCTATTGTGCTAACTGCCATCAACATAAATACGAGTCCTCTAGGGAGCCACTTGCCAGGACTTCCCAGCTTCGCTCATGTTCTCCAAGCCATCGTCCTCGCAGACTTCTGTATGGCCCAGTCCGCCAAGCACGGACGTCTGACCTGTCCACTGACTGCAAAGGGCTCTGGATCAGAGCCTCAGGCAGTCCCAGCTAAGTCAATGGAACCACTCAGGTCCTTACTGGGGAGCAAGCGCTTTGTGGGGTCGGTGCCGAAGGGACCAAGTTCCCCAGACTCATTGCACCTCAGGCCCCTGGCGAGTTCTTGGCTTCCTGTCCCTTGCTCGGACCAGCTTGTGTATTACCCCCTTCTCTCGCGTCACATCTGTGAGTTGGGGGGCAGCCCAGCCCAGCCATGGAGGTTACTCAGGGCTGCACCCACAAAAACAAAATCCAGTTCCCAACTGGAGTGCAATCACCCCCCCCCCCAAAAAAAAACCCCCACACACCTGGACTTTATCTTAACAATGGAAGTAAATCTAATTTTGCAAACAAGTCAGACACACACTCACTCACACACACACACACTCACACTCCCCCAAATCAAACCCTGCAGCCCCATGCAGACTAGAAGCCTGAGCTAATAACGCCAAGCCTTTAACAGAACCACGAACAGTCCTAACGGGGTCACACGCAGGCTGGGCCCATTCAGACACAAGGCATGAATTCTCTAGGAGACCGTACAGCACAATACAATGGAGGACACCCAGATTCATGGGCTCTCCAACCCAATGTCCCAAGCCCCATCTGGTGGCACAGGGCACACGGATGCCAGATGGCTTTCAGGCAAACATGGACCAGCCCAGCTGGCCGGTTGTAAACCTCAGACAGGGAGAGTTTGAAATGTCAATGGATTGGCAACGCTCGCCACCTAGTGGTGGCACAGCAATACAGCAATAGTCACAACACCTTTTGCGATGAGCTATCATCTACTTCATTGACTTCCTTTGGCAATCAGGAAGGCACTTGCTGATCCCTTCGGTGCATTCCTGGTCTCTCTGATTTTACCAGCGGAGCCCAGAGCACTCAGACTTTCACTTTACTCAGTCAGGCCTTAATCCTGTAACATACAGCAGGCCCTTGACTAATGCAATGGCAAAGGGGGAGCCAGGAATGTCATTACGCACAGAATAGTCCTGTTCTGTTTTTCCATCTGCTCCCCTCAGCAACTGGAATAACGGGGGGGGAGGGTGTCACCCCCCACCTCTAGCCAGGAGGCCCTCATCTCAGCGCTGCAGGGAGTCCCTTCTCAGCACTTAACAGCCGGAAAGGATGGTGAACTAGCCACAACATGTGGGTGACTTAAAGTGGCATGCAGGGACTAGGGAATCTTTGGGGGATCTTAGCGCCCCCTCCCCTTGCAAGAAAGGGGCATTTCCCTCTATAGGGCACACAGGATTCATCAGAGCAGGTTTGTCAAGGAGCGGAAAAATAAGTGTTGAACTGCCCGAGTCAGCCTGGCATTTCACACTGCGCCGAGTATCCCATTTCAAAAACATCACCTCTGCACAGCAAAGAGCTCCCACATGCCCCCCAAGTGCCCCACAGCCTGGGAGATCCACCTCCCCACAACTACTGAAGGAGGTTTCACGGCACGGAACCACAGGCTCGATTCTCAGAGGACGAGTGAATCCAATGTACAGAGCAGCGTATGTTGCTGGGCCACCCATCTTATTTACACAGATTTACAATAACCCATTTCTGCAGCGGCTGACTGCAGAGTCTGAGGTCCTGTGGGCCACACAACTTTATGACCAGATGTCCCCACAACGTGCTCGCGACATCTTCCAGTCTACCGAGTCACCAGTTGGTTCACCAACATTTCCCACTTAGTCTGAAATCCCTCAGCAAGCTGAGAATCAAACAGATTTCATAACAGTGGAAACGGAAACACACCATGTTGCCCGGTAGCACAGAAGAGCATTAATTACAGTGTGTGGGGGGGGAGCGTGTGGGCGAGATGGATCGTTGATGTTCTAATAGAACGAGTCATGGGATTAGAATTAAAACTTTTGAAGGCAAGAAAAGAGGAAACAAAACTCAGCTCTGGCGGAGGGCGACGTTTACCCAGGATTCTGGTGCACCCAGGAGTCAAAGAAGGCAGAGAGCAGGTCTCGGCACGGCCACAGATTCCAGACAGGGACTCGATGAAAGAGCACAACATCACCGCTTCTCGAGAGCAGCTGGCTTGAGACCCGGCATGCTGCTGGGAAAAGCGCTCAGAAGGTCTCGCGTGACAGTTTCCATCAGAGAGGGGACAGCTCCTCTCCGCACGGCAGGCCCCCCGACAGCTTTAGTCTATTTTCAGAATGTCCGAGTTCGCCTTCAAGAGGTACAGGCTGTCGTCACGGAGGAAACTGCAAGGATAATGAGAGCAGCCTGAGCGAGTTAGAGGCGGCGTGGCGCGGGGGGGTTCTAGCCAGAACCTGCCCCGTTTGAACCCAAGCCATTACAGTGGCAGCTAGTGCAGGCTAATTCCAAAAGAAAAAGGGTCTCTTTTGTCGGAAATATCCAGTCAATGCAAGATGGAGTCAGTGCCAGGGCAGGAGGGACACCAGGTCACCCAGTCTGACCTATACCAGGCCAGCACCTCTTCCCAGCAACCACACTCTGAACCCACCCTTTTGTGTTCGCTATTGAGGGCCTGCTCCTCAGCAGCTGGAAGTCAGCATTACCCCAGCCACGGCTCTGAAGCGAAATCCCCCGCACTTTGCATCCACCATACATTTTGGCACTGACTGTGTCACTCAGATCAGAAGTTGCAAGGAGGTTGGGGGTGCTGACAGCTGGGTCAGGGGACCAGGAAGGCATGGGGGGTGGGGGGGAGGAGCTTTGGGAATGGGATGTATCTTCTCTTTGGGTGGGATAGGGTGGACAGACACACTCTGGGTGGGTGATGTCCAAATGCAGATCCTGGGGAGGGAGAGATAAAGGGGAGGACGGGACCGACTCCTGCACAACTGGACACAACACTGTCCCTCCCCCACCCCACCCCCGACCCAAACAGGCCTACCCAGCACAAGTGTCCTTGGGCAGAAGTGAAGTTGTGAGCTCCTGTCTGGAGCAGCAGCTAGGCCTGGCCGCCACTGAGCAGTGCTCTAAAGGGCACCGCTCGCATAATTAGTTCCTACAGCTCACACCTTTTTAGCTTGTTAACCGTAATGAGCTCACATGACATTTACTCCGTCTGAAAACATTAACGACGCCAAGTCCTTGCCCCGCGTTTGCTCCTGTGCTGCTGACACACGTGGCTCTGCACCGGGGGGCTTCCCTGCTGGGTTACTGGGTTAGGCTATGTGGGCTGGTGGGACACTAATGGGACAGAATTACACTCATGCTGAGGGATCCTGCACACTGTCTAGATACTTGTATGGTCCCCGTCCCTAGTACCTGAGAATCTCAGACTTGTTAATGCATTTACCCCCCAGTACAGGTAGGGAAACTGAGGCACAGAGACATTAGGTGACTTGCCCAAGATCAAACAGGGAGGCCGTGGTCTCCAGAGTCCCTGGTGTGACGAAGTGGGGGGTTTTCTTGTTTTCTGTGGAGTTTCAATGGTTTGCATGCGGAGGGGGTGGGACTCAGTTTCCCTGGGTGTTACTGGTTTAACGAGGTGAGGGGAGAGGGAGTGTGTTTTGCAGAGGACCGGAGAGAGGACGTGGGGACCCAGCCGGTGGCCGGGAAGATGGATACCCCAGCGACCGGTGACCTGGTGACCCAGAGGCCCAGCTGAGGAGACGCAGCCGGTTCTGGCCAGTGGGAGGACAATGGGCTGCAGAGTGAGGACCCAGTGACCTAACCAGCCGGTCCCAGCCAGAGGGAGAAGCAGGAGAGGAGGCCCCGGTTTACGACCCTGTTTACCTGAAGAGAAGACAATGGACAGAGGCGGGGCCTGGGGCCAGGGATCTCGGATGCCCAGCGGCGAGCAGGGGGGCTCTGGGCTGGAGAGGGGAAGCAGGCAGAGCCCACCTGGATGCAGAGAGACTGGGATGTGCTGGGCTGAGGGAGGCCAGGCCTGAGGGTCAGAGAGTTTCCTGTGCTGTGTTCAACTCTCAATAAACCCTTCTGTTTCATGCTGGCTGAGAGTCACTCCGGTCTAGAGAACAGGGTTGCATCAACCCCTTCGGGGGTGGAGGCCCCGGGGGTCCAGAGCGAGTGGACTCCCTGAGGGGGCCCACGGCAGAGACAGACGTGCTAAGGCTCAGAGAGGTGCGGATCCAGGAGGTGGAGGGGCCTGACCCCGAGAGAGAGTGGACCCCCGAGAAGGGCTGTCTCACTAAAAGGGGCACCCCCCCACGGACCGCACGGGGCCAGGAGTGGGCACGATCTGTGAGTCCGTGACACCTGGCCAGCAGCCTAACCACGAGATCTCCCTTCCTCCCTGCTCTCAGTGTTGGTGGGTCGTAAGATCTGCCTGTCCGGACTGTGCTCCCATTTGGGAAGAACTCACCATGAAACTGCTAGAGACAGTTCCCACTTTGAAGGGAGAGTGTCTTCTAGCGAGTCAAGAGCACCCCTTTCCAGGCGTGGCTTGGTCTAACCCACCCTGTCAAGCTGGCGAGAGCGGATGGAGCTGTAGCATATGGCAGCCTGGCTGCATAATGGGGGATTACATTTCAGAGCTTCTTGCTGTGCTGTCTGCGTTCCTGCTGTAGCCACTCCAGGGAGTGGATCTCAAAGGGGGGAGTCGCCTGGTAAATAATGACACAGTTCTGTCGCCCAGACCGCCCCCCAGAGACCGCATACCCGGGGCTGACCTGTAGAAGAGGACGTTGACAGGAATGGTGCTGATGTGCCAGATGGCGTGTGCGTCGAAGATCCAGAAGAGGGGCGGGAAGTCCAGCAGCTCGAGCAGCGCCAGGCCCTGAAGGAGCAGCACCACCACCACGCACTTCCACACGTACGGGAGGCGCTGCTGGTTCCTGACGCACCAGCCCAGCCACCAGAAGAGGTTGAGAAGGCCTGGAAGGCAAGCGGTACAGGGCGGAGGATCTCATGGTCACAGGAAGCAGGACTTGCTCTTTGGGCTGGGCGGATGTTTGCTGCTCAGCCGGAAGGGCAGAGAAGGAGTCACCTCCTCTACTCCACATCCACACGGTTACTCCCCCACTCCAGGAGCCTCTCCATGCACTCAGTTCCTCTTACCGATCTCGCTACCCAGGGTCGGGCTCCATCGAGAGCTTGCCAACACCCTGACCAACCTTGCCTTGCCTCCCCTCCCCTTCCCCAAAGGCTGAGCTCACCCTCTTGGGGGTGTTTCCGTCCTCTGCCAGCCCAAGGGCTGTAGAGACTGGGCCCTGTAAGTGACTCAGCCCTCGCTTCACTCACCCACAGCACGGCTCACAAGCTGATACGAGCGTCATTTAAATGTGCCCCTGCCACGTCGTTTGCTCCCCTCTCCCCGGCTAGCCCCAGAGGCAGGCAGCTCTCAGATCCAGGACGGGGGGAGACTATATTCCCCTCCAGCCACAACTGCCAACCTTCCAGCCATGCCTTCACGTTGCCACGTCCCTTCCTCTCCCCCCCCCCCCGATCTTCTCCCCATAGTCACCTATCCCCACTCCCCCAAACACATCACCCTCGGGGGAATTAACAAGCTGCCTGCCAATCAGTGTCCTGATCACTTTGCTCCTCTCAATTTGTCCCTATGCCCCCACCGTCCAGAGTGCCCCAGAGGTGTGCTGCAATGCACTCTGGGCCCTGCCTCAGTACTAGGCTGATCCTGCAGTGCCACAGAGCTATAGGGACATCAGCCTCCCTGCTGCCAACGTAGCAAGGAAGCAGAGCGTGGCTAGAGGAAGGGGCATGGCCATGGTGCCCATGTGGCACCCAGGCTTCAGTTGCACTGTCAGCTTCTCGGAGCCATCTACAGCCCATTCTGCCTTCTGGTCGCCTTCCTCTTTTTGAGCCTTTACGACACACCCAGGGTCACGTTTTCAAACTTTCCTCTGAAGCCGCGAGGGCTGCAAAGTTACCCTTTTAAAAACAATGAAAACCGATTCTCACAAAACATGACGCCAGGAGCTGGGGCTCAAAGTAAAACATCAAGTAACGTGAGACTCGCGATAACACGGAGAGCTGGGGACGTGGGAAATGGAGGCACCGGGGGAGAATGACCGGCCCAACACCACAAGACAAGTCAATGGCAAAGCCAGGAGTCCCACTCCCCCCGCTGCTCTGACCATTAAGAACTCCATCCAACGGTTTGAAGCGGCTGTATTTTCTGAAGCAGGCAGGGGTCTGGGGCAGCGCCAGGCTAATCAGAAAATGGCATTTTCCATTAACTCGAAGGGGGAAGTTGGTCTAGCACCATGTCAGGACTGTCCTGGTGATTTCAAGCTGCAGTCCTTAGATTTAGCAGACAAACAGCCACCCCTCTTGTGCTAGAGAGCAGAGATAAACACCAAGTCCCAGGGAATGGCTCAGCCCCTCTTCCCTCAGCACCCAGGTGCAGTGGAATAGCTAGGAGACACCATCTCCAGAAAGTAGAGCCAGAGAGACTCTCTCCAACCACCATAGATTCCCAAATCCCACCCAGGGGGCGACACTGAGCACCAAGTGGCTGTGTGTGAATTATATACAGTTCCATTGCTCATGTTCGTTCCAAGTCACGACCAAAAACCGACCCGCCCATCCCGCCCCCACCTTCCAGCCTCCCCCGGGCCTTACCGATCGCCACGTTTGCGGCCATGTTGTAGCCATAGTCAAAGCGCACGAGCGTCAGGTACGAGACATGGCAGGCCAGGAAGAGGATCAGAAAACCCCCAAAGGCATTAGCAAAGGCTGGACGTTTCAGACCCAGGGTCCTACAATGGAAACCGAAACAATGCAGAGAAGCTCTCAAACTCCAGCAGCTCACACAGCTCCTGCAGGACACACCAGCGGCTTCGCCCCAGCTCCTGCAACCCCAGGAGATCTCACCTAATCTATTCCCAGCCACTAGAGAGTCCCAGACTTCAAGGCCAGAAGGGACAAAGGATCATCCCGTCTGACCTCCTGTATAGCACCCGCCACCAACTCCTCCCAGCACCCGCATGCTAACCCCAACCACCTAACGAGACCCAAGTATCACAGCCCAGAGGAGACTGGATTACTCTGTGCCGCAGGCAGAGAACAGGAGGGACCGAGGTGCACCAATGCCCAGGGCACCCCCACAACGGCAGAGAAATGTTAAGTGAGATACCCCCAGATAATCGTGCCAAGTGACCCATCCCCACATGCTGCAGAGGAAGGTGAAAAGGCCCCATGGTCACTGCCAATCTTATGTGGGAGAAAATTCCTCCCCAGCCCCACATATGGAGATCTGATAGACCCTAAGCATGTGAGCAAGAACCCGCCAGCCACATCCCTGAGAGAGAGACTGACTGCTCGGTGTCACCTCAGAACCCTGGCCCACCCCGCCCAGTGCCCATCTCCAGGCATGGCCATCCTCGATGCTTCAGAGGAAGGGGATAAAACAAAATGCACACCCCGCCCAGGGCCTCGATGGCATCTTCGTTTCTCTCCCTGTGGCACACAATTGGGCTCAGTCTAGGGCAGCTGGTGCCACACAGGAGGTCAGACTAGCAGATCTAAAAGTGCCTTCTGGCCGTATGCTCTTGGAAGTATAGAAGCTGTTTAGTATCTGACACAACCCCCTGGCAGAGGATGGATCTGCCCTTGCAGGGGAGGAGTCAGTGAACTCAGAGGTCTTTCTGCCTCTTTACTACTATAGATCTCATAGCTCACCTTCCTGCCCCAGATACAGCCAGGTACGGAGAGGCACTGGTGTACGCCAGTGCTTGCTTCATAAACTGTAGAGCAGCTGAACGCTTTGGGCTGTGCTGACAGACAGCAAGAAGAAGCCCCAAGCCCTGGGACACAAGCAGCCCTCTTTAGCAGAATGCAAACCTCGCTGGCACTTACAGATGGCTACTTCTGTTCCTGAAGTGGCTAACCCTAGAACGGGCACACACCAGCTCTGGCATGGTCCAGATAATCCTTAGTCCAGCCATGAGTGCAAGGGACTGGACTAGATGACCTCCTGAGGTCCCTTCCAGTCCTACGATTCTACGATGGGTCTCTCTCCTTCACTTCCTGAAGGTTAGGACGCAGCAATGCTGATGTCCCTTATCAGAAGTTCAGACTGTGTGAGGAGAAGTGGCACTCCCCAGCTCCTTGGCTAAACAAAGCCGCAGTCAGGTTCTCATAGCACAAAGAAGGGAGGAGGAAAGTAAATACCAGGTTACAGCTTATCTAGCTGCAGGGCTGCCAGAGACACGCCCACCATCTCAGGGAGACAGGGACCGTAGGAAGCTCACCTGACACAGCACAGGTAGATGGAGTGCAGGATGACGGTGGACGCGCAGAAGTAATCCATTTTCTGTGGGACAAGAGGCCTGGTTAGATCATTGGTAGAAGAGCAACAAAGAGAGCCAAGGAGGGAAAGCACAGACATTGATGAGCGTCGGACAGATCAGGGTTTTAAAGGGCTGAGCGTTCCACAAATGGAACTTACCACGATCTCTTTTCAAGAGTCATTTGAACATATGTTGTGCACAGGAAGGCAACAATATCAGATTAGTTTCCAGGGGACTTAACTCCATCCTTACTCAGGAGCCACTGACAGTTTGCTCGAGTAAGCACTCCTAGGACTTGGCACACAGTGAACATAAATGGGCCATAATGCTAAGAGACTGTCTACTGGTAAAATCGATTTACACTTCTATCTGGATCAGGGCCTAGACTGACAAGACAAACGGGTACAAGAAGAAATGCAGCCAGCTAGTCTCCGTGTGAATTCAATGTCTTTTCAGATGCTACAACTGGCTGCCCGTTTCTGGTATTTGTACGGCAGTAGCACCTGGCAGCCCCACTCCTGGCCAGGACCCCACTGTGCTAGGTGCTGTACAAACACAGAACAAAGAGACAGCCCTCGGTTCAAACAGCTGACAGTCCAAGCGTCAGAGACAAGTGCTGGAGTCTGTGGTTTTACAGTCACATTTTCGTAGGTTTCTCTCACATCACAGAGGGCACTGACACCTCTCCGAGGCTGCATAGATTTGTTACACAAACCCATTTTTCAGGTCAGACAGATTCACCAGATCCCTTTCTGCAGCCCCCCGACTTCACACCAGCAGCATAGGGGCATCTTAAAACATTATGGAGATAAAGGCAGGTCTCTCTCAAGCACGTCTCAGCAGACACTGAACTAGAGAATAGCCAGGTGTTTCTCACCCCCATTTGCACCCAGAGTTTGCCTTGTAGAATTCAGGGGGTCGAGAAGCAAGGGTAAATAGCAGATCCTCAACTGCCGAGACATGCAAAGCTCCCACAGCAGGGTAACACTCACCTCGGTTACATCAGTGTCCCTTGTATGGAAGACTGTAGACCAGAACCAGGCATTTAATGAAACCTAAGAGAGGCAGACAGTTAGATGTTCTGTGTTAGACAGTCCCCCGCCCCAGAGAACTTACAGTCTAAGAGAAACACAGGAGATGGGATTCAGTCGAGAGCGCGCACAAAAGGATAACTTGGGGGTAGACTTTTTACAAACCCTTTAATGTTTAATACCATTGAACCAGAAAGGACGTTTAACAGATGGGTCGACGTCTGTTCTCATGTACACCCTGCAACACCACTGACACCAACAGAACTGCACAGAAGTAACTGAGGGCCTAACCTGACCTACAGTCTTCTATCGCCAGCCATTGCCAAAGACCCTAGCGCTGTCTGACCACTTTCATAGATACCTACGGCCAGAAGGGACCATTACACTGATCTAGTCTGATCTGCAGTACCACAGGCCATGGAACTTCATCCAGTAATTCCTGTGTCAAGCCCATGCCTCCTGGCTGGACGAGGGCCCTGTTCTCCTGACCTCTGGGTAAAACCTACAAGAGCACGAAGCTCCTAAACGCCTTAGGAGAATTTCTTTTACTCTTTAAAACTCGTTTCTACGTGGTTTTGAGGTTTTCACTGTTTACATTTTTGTCTTTCCACTGCAGTGTATATATTTAAAAATAAAACAGAACCGAGGCATAGCTCCTAGATGACATTTACTGCAATTCTGTTTATACAGCTGAACTGGCAATAATAATACCTACTTCTTCAGGGATTTAGTGAGCTTAATTAAATGCCTGGAGAAAGCTTTGCGATCCTTAGGTGAAAACACATTGTACCTCCAGCACGGTGCCTGCTATCTTATATAAGAGTTCCACGCCTCCTGAGGCGCAATTAACACCTGCTTTTTCCAGTCTCTCTCTCTCTCTCTCCTGCAACTCTTTAATCCCTGCATGCAAATGAGCTCTTTCAAACAGGGTTATAAGATCATTAAATCAACAGCTTCGGGCTACATACCTGAGATGTTCATAGGACCCACACCTAAATAATGCCCTTTGGCTCTTTCCAAAAGTATCAGCCCACAAGCCACAGTGAAGATTCAACAAGAGGGACCATGACCAGCTTTTCTTATTTTATTAAGGATAAACCTGAAGCAGCTCAGCCCCGTCGGGTGGGGATGTGGCGGAAGACAATCTAAATAAAGTGATCTAGAAGAGAGGGAACAGAGTCCAGAGGTATCTCCAATTACTAGATTAAGAAGATGCTCCTAAGTGACACAGGTAGGAGCTTTAAGCGCCAGAGTGAAATCAATCATCATGCAGAACTAAAGAAACCAGAAACTGACTAAGCGCAAAGAAACAATCCAAGCAAAGGTTAGAGTCCCTGGGCTGGAGCTCGGGCGCTGATGCCCAGGGAGGAGTGTGGGTTTCAGAGCCCAAGCTCTACTCTGAGCAGGAACATCCACATGCTATTTTTAGAACTGTAGCACAAGCCCCATTCTGCAGACCCAGGCTGTGAGACTTGCTGCCGTGGGTTTTTTTGCAGTGTAGATGTCCTCTTGGAGTTCCTTGTAGTGTGGGGAGCAGGTGGAGGGGAAGAGCACAAACTTCCCGGTGCTTTCCACGTGGAACAGAGAGGGGTGAAGAGGAAAAGCAGGATTTCTAAAACAGCGGAAATGGTAAACAACAGCAGGCCAAATGCACCCCCACCTAACTCCAGGGAAGTCAGGGGAGTTAGCTAAGGGAGGGATACGGCCCAGTGTATTGCAAAGAGAAGCAAGATTTCCCTTTACAGAGCAGCTATGCTTCATCACCTCGTTAGCCGAGGCATGGGGTGGATGGGAAAGGATTAAGTGACTACCGCTATTAGCTAAGTGCCAATTGTTCGTTTGAATCACGTTTCCACTAAACATCCCGTCAATCTCATTATCAAGAGTCCACGAAAACTGGATTTGAAGAAGCCTGTAGCAAGGGCTGGCAGCAGCTAATGGGGCTGTGCACATTTTTTGGATCAGTTGTTTATTTAAATGCTCTGGCACAGGGGTGGGCAAACTATGGGCCGCGAGCTGTTTTAAGCCGGCCTGCTAGGTCCCGCTGGGGAGCGGGGTTGGAGGCCAGACCACACAGCCCAGCCCCACTCCAGCCGGGGCTCTGGGTCGGGGCCGCTCTGGCTCTCTGGTCAGTGGCCGCACCATGGGGGTCAGCCCCGCTCCGGCCGGGGCGCTGGTTCGGGGGCCGCTCTGGCGCTCCAGTCAGGGGCCGCACCATGCAGCTCGGCCCCGCTCCAGTCGGGGCGCTGGGTTGGGGGCCGTACCACACGGCTTCTGCAGCATGGATCTGCTCCAGTGCTCTAGCCGGGGCGCAGGGTCGGGGGCCGCATCACGCAGCTCCTGGAAGCCACAGCATGGCCCCGCTCTGGCTCCTACGCACTCCAATGGCCCCCTCTGGTGCTTCAATGGGAGCTGCAGAGGCAGTGCCTGCGGACGGGGCAGCATGCAGAGCCACCTGGCTGCACCTCCATGTAGGAGCTGGAAAAGGGACATGCCACTGCTTCCGGGAGCCGCTTGAGGTAAGCGCCGCTCAGAGCTTGCACCCCTGAGCCTCTCCCCACGCCCCAACTCCCTGCCCTAGCCCTGATCCCCCTCCCCAAACCCCTCGATCCCAGCTCGGAGCACCCTCCAGCACCCCAAACCTCTTATCCCCAGCCCCACCCCAGAGTCCGCAGTCCCAGCCGGAACCTGCACCCCTTCCCACACCCCTGCCCTGATCTCCCTCCCACCCTCCAAACCCCTCGGTCCCAGCCCAGAGCACCTTCCTACACCCCAAACTCCTCATCCCCAGCCCCACCCCAGAGCCCTCACCCCCTCCCAAACCCCAAACCCAATTTTGTGAGCATTCATGGCCCACCATACAATTTCTATTCCCCGATGTGGCCCTTGGGCCAAAAAGTTTGCCCTCCCCTGCTCTGGAGACAAATGAACAGCCTTTGTTTACTATTAACAGTGCCTCGCCTGCCCTAGAACGTAATTGCAGGTGCTTTGATAAGCGGATCCAAAGGTTGTCAAATTTTGCTGGAGCTCCTATAAATGCCTCTTTGTAGGCTCTGCTAAGACGTTGTAGTAGAACTTCCTACAATGCTACTCCTGGATCAGCTGCCATCTCCACCCCACATGACTGTCGCTGCACCTCCCATGGCAAAACTGCACGAAAAGATGGTCTGCCCTTGGAAAGCTACCCAGTGTTAGCAGATGCGTTAACCACCCCATATCAAACACAGCTTAGTCCTGGTCTCCAGCGAATGCTGTTGTGTTTAACAGCATGTCAGCAAGTCGTTAACTTGATAGGACACTGGGATTAACCCCAGCCAGCCCACACAATGTTAAACACATTGAATTGCCAAGAGTGGGTCAGACCCATGGTCCATCTCGCCCTGTGTCCTGCAGAGGAATGTGCAAGAAACCCGCAGTAGCAGGTGTAGGATAAACTGCCACCCAACATCAAGTCTCATTGTGGCTTAAGCACACAACAGTCCTTGTCCGCCCTTGGGCTCAGATCCTTAGAAGAGACCCAGGCATCTAAAGAGGCACACGGCTGTCTAAATCCACCATTTAGGTACCATTGACATTTTCAAAACTGCTGCTCCGCTGCTGCCTGGGCACCTACATTTCCAGCAGTCGGCATTTGCAAAGCACTGACCTTGCCCGACAGCTGCTCAGAGCCCTAGTTCAAGCCGGGTTCTCGGACTAGGTGGAGGAACTCCAATTTCGCCAGCAGAGCCTGGTCCTGCAGGCGTGCTCCCAGCACACCTAACACCTGTTCCCTGCCACCCTGACATCAGGAGGGCTGGAGGCAGCCCACCAATCGGTGGAGAGGCTGCAGAGCATCCACACAAGACAGGGTAATGCAGAACAAGAGTGAGAGAAGCATCAAGTGAAACAGGAAACAAAGAGACAGGGGTTTGGCTGGTAGGGCACAGGTGACTTAGGCACCTAAGCCAGGTCAGCCCTTACCCCCAGGAGAGGGTTCAGGGCTGAGGATTCTGAGCAGAGGAAGGCACTTCTCTCAGACCGTGCGCACCAAGCCAGCCCCTTCAGAGCCTAAGTCCCTCTCCTCAGCATTCACTTCTGGCTAGCTTACGAAGCTCCCCACCCAGCTAGCCAGCGGCTGAAAAAAATCCTTTCCTGAGGCACCCAGCTCTCCCCATGCACTGCGTGCCTTGCTCTGGGCTGAGAGTTGCACTGGGCAGCAGGTCCCGTAGGAGTTAAGCTGAGAGGAGAACTCTGGATACTTTCAAGAACTTGGGCCTTCGCATTTCAGATTGTATAGTTAGTAGCATTTCAACTCCCAGTGCCGACAAAGCCTACGGGAGAATCCTTTCCTGTATCCAGCAGTGGAATCACAACAGTCACAAAACACTGTCGAACACAAGCCTGTTCTACACAGATACCAGCCAACCCTCCACCTAGGGCCTGCTCTTGTACTGAAGTCCAAGGGAGCTGACAACACTCAGCATCTCATAAGACCAGTTCCCTAAAGCACAGGCATAGGGCCAGACAACACAAGCACTGTTACAAGGTTTAAAGGGCCAAGACGAAGGCTGGACAACTTTATGATCAATATCATCTGTAATGATGCACTGAGAGTAAATCAAATCTCATGCTTCAGGGAACAAACTGACAACCACAAGGGTCAGGAAGAAAACTCCCCACCACATGCAACTGTGCACAGTTAGCCAGGAGTGTAATGTTTTCCACCTTCCCCTGAAGCATCAGGTGTTGGCGTCTGCTGGAGGCAGAATCCTGACTTACTGGACCAGGGTAAGTTCTAAGCACCTGTGAAGTTCCAACTGTAAACTTAGTGACAGAGCCCTGGCTACTGGGGACAGATAACCCAGTGACCATCTGAGCAAAAGTCCTTCTACCTGGTACTAGTAAACTCATCAAAGAAAGTCAATAGGGACACTGTGAAGGAGCCAATCAAGGCAGTTAAAGGAAGGAGATGGAATGTTTAAGGCGTAGATGACAGCTGGGTAACGGAAGAATAAGAACAAAGGGGAAAAAAACCCTCCGTGGAGCTGTAAGAAATAAATTGCATTTCAAGGAGGAAGGAAAACCAAGCCAAAGGCTAAATTAATAAACCCAGGAAGCAAACACGGTTTAATCAGTCGAAAATTGATACTATCGAATAGCATGGTGCTGAAAGCTGGAGCAGTGAAGCGTAGTCACCTTGCAACAGACAATCCTGCTCTCAGTGGCAGGCGTAAACCAGAGTAATTTGATTCATTCGGATGGCGCTCATCCTGATTTAACTGACGAAACCCAGACTGGATTAAACTAGAGCAATTTTCCAACAGAACCCAGAATACTAACCAGCACTCTTATTGGCCCTGGGGGAGAAGGCGCATTGCTATACTAGGCTGCCACAGAGCAGCCGGATAATCCAGCACCACACAGTACAGCACCTGCAGCAAGTCTAGGAGGCTGCGACCCAAGGAACTCAACAATACAGAAAGAGTCAAGTTAATCTGTTGCATTAAAATGGCAATTCACAGCCTCAGACAGTGACAGCAGAGGGTCTGTTCTCTTCCACGTGCACACAGCACTATTCATTGCTAACTCAAGAGCAGTGTTCTTTAGTCTGTCCCATAATGTGCGGTTGGGAACAATACACAAGGGGAATTCATAATCCCCTTTGGGCAAGGTGCAAGGTCACGTTTCCTTGTAGCTTAAAGGAAACCTGAGTAGCGTACTCCCCCATCTCTCTGTCCTCACTGCACGTACACAGTTTGCACACTGCTTTCACAGTCCGAGAAGTAGGCAAGCTATTGAGCAGGAATTATTTTTGCTAATCCACCAACTCACCTTTTTAAAAAACTTTGAATTTGGGGTGAAACATTAGGTTTGTTGCCATCTTGGATGACCTCATAATAGGACCCCATAATAAAAGGACAATGTATCTATCTTTTCTTTTTTTAAAGCAGTGCGTTTTATTAACCATTAGAACTAACTAGCTTCAAAATCAAGCCTGGATGCTCTTTTGGAAGAGATGCTGTAGCGAAACACAAGTAATCGGGCTCAGATTCTATGGTATGTGTTAGAGGTCAGATGATCGAATGGTCCCTCGGGATGCCTCAGACTGAGTGCTTTGAGCAGTCCGCAGTCTTGCACTGCAGAGATGGACATAACCACCTTGTGCAGCCCTGCAAAAACCAGCACAAACATTCACCAATCCAGGCACGATAGCCACTCACATCCCTTAGCCCAAAGATGAGGAAATTATATTTTCAATGCCCATGAATAGGATCTAAATCCCTCTGTCACCAGTTCCCATTTAGTCCTTGGGGATAAATTAATAACAGGGCTGTGGAGGATTTCTCTTCAGAAGGCTCTTCATGACAAGGATGCCCTGAATGGCAGCTGTTTACAGCTGAGACCCCGGTCAGGCTCCATTATAACTGGGGTTGTGGTCAGCACACTGGGAGACACAGAGATAAGTCAAGATTCATTTCTAATTCTCTATGCACTAAGTGACGCTAGAGCCGAGCTCTATTCAGCGAACCTGCTGCTAGAAGACCCTTGAAGCGGGATTCCAGACACGCACTCTGTTGTGCAGTTCATTCATTCCCCGGACTCTCTCCTCCTTGGACACAAATTTTTACACCCAGTATTTACAAGTGGAGGGCCAAAATCTGGTCCCTGTCTCCAGAATCACAGAAACTGCTTGGGCAGCCGGGCACAGGACAAGACATGGATGGGCCTTTGCCCAGTGCCTGGCCAGGCTACTTGCTACTTGCATGGTGTTAATTTCAGGATCAAGGGCAATGTGTGTGAAATCTTTGCCATCATTTAGCAGGGATGTGCTTCCTAAAAAAATCTAAACCGTTCAACGTGAAAGCCACAAGTTACACAAGAGTCTTTCATTTTCAGGGAGAAACTCCTCCTGGGGCTATTGTATTCTTCCTCCCTCAAGTACCTCCTCAGTTTCAACAGATCTGATGCCCTTCTTTCCAACTGATCGGATACCCCTTGCGCTTTCAAATAGCTCCTGCATGCCACTCCAGAGGTGGCTGCATTTTAGCAATCCCTTCTGCAAATCGCTGGGGATGAAAAGCGCTATCTAAATGAAAGTTATTATAAACAGTCACTATTAAAAACAAAACAAAACAGGAAGTTCTATAAAGGGGTCGGGGAGGAGGAATGAAAGGAATGAGGAGAGGGAACACTCCACAGAAGTTTTCAAGCTACCTACCCAGGCAAAGGCGATACAGGTGTGGTACATGGGAGATGAAGGCGGGACGGATGCTTTGTATCTAGTCAACATCACAAAGTTGGCAAGTCCGTTAAGGAAAGAAGCAAAGGCAGAAGCAGGTTCCTGGAAGAACAGGAAGCGGGAAAAGGGCCACTAAAAAATAAAAGTAAAAGGGGAAGGGAAAAGAGGGACACAGTTAACAAAATGAATTCACGCTTCCCGTTCTTTCCTGTTAGCTGGAGGTGGCAGGAGTTAAACCTTCTACCCTGCTGGAACAGCCAGACTGGAGCTCCAGGTGAAAAAAATTTCAAACACTCTGTTCTAGGAACAACTCTAAGCTATGTTTTAAATCTCACCTGCTTTCATAGTCATTTTCATCTTCCTCTTTCTAGGTGCTGGGGCTGGCCGGCTTGGGGCTGCTGAGGCCGGCCAGCCAGCCTGGGGATTAACGGTTAAGGCAGGTTAACTGGTAAGACTAAACACTTACCATTAACATTTTACATCCCTAACAGAGACCAACTTGCCCAAGGTCATACAGGGAAGTCTGTGGAAGAGCCAAGAATTAAGTCCCATTCCAAGTGCCTGAACCACAAGACAAACCTGTCTCTCTATACATTCCTCTTCATTCCTCAGGATGCCTAACGGAAACAGGATCAGTGCTGAAATCAGAGCTAAGTCAAGCCCAGACACGCATGCTAAAGGCTCTTCCACTCACCAGGTTACCAGGGACATTTGGCACAGAAACAGGAGTGGAACGGGGGGTTAAATGATCTTGTTTAAAATTCTTTTGAGCCTCTTTGAAGATGCCAGGCTCCCTGGGTTCAGTAGCGATGCACTATTCAGAGAGGTCACAAGATCCACAAAGCCCTGACAGGCTCCTGGCTTCAGGGATGGGCTAGAAAAATGGCATTTTGGGGCCTCTCTAGTGAACCCAGAAGTGCCAGCAGATTTTAACTGAGGATGGAAAGGATTTTTTTTGTTTTGTTTAGAAGCTTCATAAAAAAAAAAAATGTGCGTGCTGGATGCTCCCAGTAGGCTTCTCAGTGGGAGCCTTCAAGCACATATGAAAACAATAAATAATTCAGAATACTTTGCCTTTCCTCTCCCCTTCTACACCAGGTTCTCAGAGAGCTTGGCAAACATTAATGAATTTAGCCACGTAACCCCCCTGTATGTTCATATTATTCCCCCACTCTTATTTTTACTTTTTACACAGCTCTCCCATGAGGGGTTCATACCGGGGCATTGCGGGTCTGATTTTCAGAGGAAGCGGAGTGCCCAGCGCTTCAACTGAAGTCAATGGGAGCTGCAGGCATCCAGCACTGCTGAAAAACAGGACCTGGGCATCTTAAGGCGGGCACTTAAAAAACAGAAGAGCCTAAACTAGATGGTACTTTTGAAAACCTGGCCATACACTACTTCCCCAAAGTCTGTGGTGAGCTGTGGTAGAAGTCAAATCTAGGTCTACTGACTACTTAACCACAGCCCATCCTTACTTTCCACAGCACTAGGTACCAATCACCTGTACAAAAAAAGATCCTGTTTCTCATGCAGAGATCAAGGGGAGAGAAACACAGATAAAAGAACTTGCAGGAGATGAATAGTTTCTAAATAACGAGTCACCCTCCCCCTGCTCTGGCAGGTTGCTAATGGTACCAACCAAGTCATCCTTTTCTATGAAGCAAAGGACTTCATGGCACAGGTAGGGTGGTGAACTGGAACCAAGTGCCCATAGGCAGGGCACAAGCAGTTCCCTGAAATTACAGGACTGTCTTTTGCCACAAGGTTGATCCAAGAACCAACAGCTGGCAGTTTGCCAAACCAGGCAAAGATAGAGGCATTCTCATGGCTGCAGCACAGGTCACAGGAGTTATGATCTGGGGCCAAATGGCTCTGTGCCAAATTACTGCTCACCTTGCCGTGAAACTGAGGCACTCTGTAACCTTCCTGGACATAAAGCCCCACTGTAAGCCACATGCACTCATATTTACAGTCATCTCTGCAGGTCCAGCCTGAAAGAGACACAAAGAGGAGAGACGGAGCCACTTATTAGGAGGTGACAACAATGTCATGTAGAGTTTATTTTAGCAGTTCAGGTTGCTCACATCCCCAACAGACAGAGGAGGAGGGTGGGACAGAAAGGTCTCTGTGGAACGTAGCTCAACATGCATGTGCCTATTGCACGAGTTGATCTGACTATCCCTTTGGTAGTGTCAACATCCCCTTTGATATCTCCTGCTTTGCATATGTATTAAGCTAACGTACAAGGAAATCAACTGCCTTAAGTTCTGAAGGCACTGGCACTAGGTGGCGTTTTTGACTGCTATTCTTGTGCATTTGCAGTAAGTTACAGTCACAAATAAACAAGGAACCTGAGAATATGATCTCCAACAGGCAAAGGTGACTGTTCCGGATTCTGAGGCCCTTCTACTGGTTCAGAGGCCACGTCTACACAGCAAAGAAAAACCCATGGCTGGCCTGTGCCAGCCGACACAGGTTCGCAGAGCTCAGGCTGTGGGGCCGTTTCATTGCAGTGTAGATTTCTGGACTTGGGGAGGAGCTTGAGCTCTGGGACCCTCGCAGGGTCCCGGAGCCCAGAAGTCTATACAGCAATGAAACAGCCCCACAGCCTGAGCCCTACGAGCCCAAGTTGGCTGGCACGGACCAGCCAAGGGTTTTTCTTTGCTGTGTAGATATGCCCAGAGCAGGTACAGTGCAGGCAGCAGCACTGCAAGACCCTATGCCCACATACCTGAGTCTGAACAGGAAGTGCCACCTCTATAGGAAAGGGTTCTGCAGCCCATTTAGTCCTCAGTACACCTGCTAAGATTATCAACAAGCAGGCCAAACAGGGCGGTGGGTTGTGGGATGTGGACACCCGTCCACTAGAACCGTGCTGAGAACCACCCAAACCCTAGTAAATAGGCAACGGAACAGCCATCAGAGGGTCACAACTTTTACTACTGCTATCGAATGGATTTAGATGGTCCCATCGGTTCCATAAAACCTCTCCTCTCCCCTGGGTGATCCAGTTTGTGTTAAAGGTTGGGGCTGATTTATTTCTGCTACTTGTGCTCTCTCTCTCATGTTATCTATCATTCTCATGACCGCTGCACCTCCGAGGCATCTGGTGTAACTAAGCAACTGAACCCACCCACAGGATTAAAAATATAGCAAGGAGATCCACAGGGCAAAACTGGTTCCTCTGAACAGCCTCAGGATCAGTTTATTTCTCTCACACTAGCCTGGGACCTTAAATTCATAATTTTGTTAGACTCTAAAAATCATGGACTTAATAAAGACACTGGATTTATAGCTCATTACAATAATTTATAACCCACTAACCCTCCTTTGTCCTACTACCGCAGAGGTGTTGACTGCCCTCTTCACCTTGAATGGTCTCTTGCATGCTCGCTTCTTATGCAAAGCAACCTGCTCCACCCCGTATTTAGCTGCGACACTCAGATTACCTTTCCTAGATCTGAAAAGTGCTCTACGTAAACACGGAAGTCGGTCCAATAAAAGATATGACCTCACCCACCTTGGCTCACTAACTGCACTGTCAGCCTGAACGTCTCCCCATTTCACCTCTGTCAGGATGCCCAGAACCTGTCCCCTTTCAAGTGACTTATCACGAGGTTTGAGGGAAACAGGTTCCAGGCAGGGAAGGGAGAGACCTGGGCTCTGGGAGAACAGGGTGGGGGGGAGGCATCAGCAATGGAGCCAGGAGAGGGGCTGCTGCCAGGCCACTAAGAGGAGCATGGGG